GGCGTGGTAGTCTTGGCAGCTTCCCTGGACTTGGGAAGCCCCCAGGCAATAAAATCAGCAAATATTTTTTAGGCCTTAAGGCCACCGGGTTCTGATTCGGCAGTGGCAATAGCACCAATGGAAGCCTACTGAAGCTTTCTGGTCACTAAAAGACAAAACTCAGGTTCCAGTTTTATTCCAACTGTTTTAAGCAGTCCTGTTTGAGTAGACAGTGTTAAAATATAATTCTTTTCTTTAGGGATACTTTTCATCAGTTTTACAGATGGACTGAAAGTATCATAAAAATCTCTGGGATTCCTATAAAATATTATAGACCAATGATCAGGGTTATTTTTGGTTCTAGAATCCCCACTTTTTTCTTGCTCCCCCCAATTCTTTTTTTTTTTTAAGTTTATTTATTTATTTTTGAGAGAGAAAGAGAGACAGAGAAAGAGAGAGACAGAGAGAGAGGCAGAGAGGGAAAGAGTGAATCGCAAGCAGGCTCTGTACTGTTAGAGCAGAGCCCAATACATGGCTTGAACTCAGAAACAGGGAGATCATGACCTGAGCCAAAATCAAGAGCCAGATGCTTAACTGACTGAACCATCCAGGCGCCCTATTCCCTCCCCCCACCCCCAATTCTGATGGGGCTTGGCACAAGCACATATCCCAAAAGGATGCCATACTTCATGCTTTGTGAGAAGATAAAGCTCCTTCTTAACATTCTAGAAACATGAAAGCATACATACCCCCACATGCATAAACATGTAGACATGAATGGAACTCTGCAAATCATCAACAAGCCAAGTAACAGACAATTAGAACCAAAGAATGTTAAGCACAAGAAAGAATCTTAGCATTTACATCCAAAGTTTCATTACTCAGGTGAAGAAGTTAAGGAACAAAAAGGTTAAACAATTAAGGATGAATTATAATAATAGCTACCATTTTTAAAGTATTCACTATGCACCAGGCACTGTGTAAGCACTTTATGAGGCATTTTAAATGACTTTCTCAAGATTGCATAGTTATTTAGCAACAGATGTAGGGTTAGAATCTAGGATTCTCATTTCCTATTTTGGTGCTCCCAAGAAAAATGGGTTGTGTAGCATACCATCTTTTGCCCAGGAAAACAAAACAATGCAAAACCAATCTGGATAACAAAAGGATACTCAATAGGGACAGGAAGCCCAGTGGGCAAGAATGGGTTACCAGGCTACCAAGCGCCCCACCCCTGACAGTGGACATCTGAAACGGCCCAAGCACACAACACATCTGAAAAGAACTGGAGCTCAGCCAAATGGAGAAGGAGGATTAGCGAAAAGATCCACACGAACAACATACAAGCTGCCAGAACAGAGCCCAGATAGGCTACATGTCATGATGGGCTCTGCATAAAACAGCATGTCTGCCATGTCCCCACTCACCACACAAATAGTAACACTGTCTGAGGCAGCAGCTTGGGGTAGGAAGGACAAGAGATAAACATTTTTTTTTTAAATTTTTTTTTCAACGTTTATTAATTTTTGGGACAGAGAGAGACAGAGCATGAACGGGGGAGGGGCAGAGAGAGAGGGAGACACAGAATCGGAAACAGGCTCCAGGCTCTGAGCCATCAGCCCAGAGCCCGACGCCGGGCTCGAACTCACGGACCGCGAAATCGTGACCTGGCTGAAGTCGGACGCTTAACCGACTGCGCCACCCAGGCGCCCCGAGATAAACATTTTATATGAAAGGCACTATAAATGTTTTAATGCTACAGATGCTGATGCAAAATTAGAGTTACTACTTACTCCAAGATTTTTCCAAGTTGATCAACGTCTGAACTTCCACGAAAAAGAGGCCTAGAAGAATAAAGATACACATTAAACAGGATTTTCTCAAGTTACATTTCAATCATATTGGTCATTACCATGGTTTACGCGAAGTAAAATATTCCTTAAGGGTGAGGATGAGGTAAAGAAGTGAGACCTCTTTCCTTTGGTAAATGAAGGTTTTTCTTGCATTTCACTTCATGGTGAGGATCTCTCCTAAGTATCTGGTGGTACCTGACTCCCACGTTTTCTAACCATGGGTATCCTATTTGTACTCATTCCAAAAACAGTGCCACCAGCATATACATTCCTCAGTTTCAAAATCCTACTTAACTTAGTGAAGGGGTGGAACACATCACTGTCCTAGTCTGAACCGAGGGGTCTGTGGGCTTTGAAACTGCTCTTAGTCAGATTCTTTTCTGAGCACCCTTGCCCCACCTCTCTGCTATACAGTACTTCCTCAGGGCTTTCTGTTTCCATTTGTCCTGACGCTGCAGGGAGAAAACCCCTGGACCTATTTTTCTGATTTTCACCTTCCTTTCTCACGTTATAGAAGCCAACCATCACTCTTGGCTTCAGAGGTGACTATGAACACACAGGCCTCAGTGTCTACCCTGAGAATTTAACTGGCAATTAAATGAGCTCACTTGGTGACATTTCTGGCATTTTCCCAAGTAGATCAATACCCCTAAAGGGCAAGTACTTCTCTGGTTTGCCCCTAATCTTTGGCCTAATGCTGTACCTGAACAGGTGCTCAGTTAATAAATATTTCATTTAATATATTCCTATGGTACACACATAAATGTTTCTTAACCCCCTGCTCAATGCCTCACAGCTATTTTTCAACAATGTGCTTTAAAAACTATTTTTAGCCTATTACCAGAGACCGTACTTTAAAAATGTTATATACAAGTTATAAATATAAGTATTATATATTATTTTATAAAGCCTTAAACCTTTTAACTATTTTTTAGGCATAATAAGTAAACTTGTTATATAGATCATATACAGAGAATCCTGCAAAGTCCTAGCATTTCAGTGGCTAGAAGAGATCTTAAAATCCCTCAACCATAGTTTCTACTCAGGTTCTTATTCTTTTTAATTTTTTTCAGGTTCTTATTCTTTAAAAGGGTTATTTGCAAATGCAGCCAAAAATAATTAATTTGTGGCAATGTTATGGGCTGAACTGTATCCCCTCCAAAATTCATGCTGAAGTCCAACCCCCAGTCAGAGGACTGACTGTATTTGGAGACAGGGTCTTTAAAGAGGTGATTAAGTTAAAATGAGGTCATTAGGGTGAGCCCTAATCCCATCTGACTAGTGTCCTTATAAAAAGAGGAAATTTGGACACACAGGGGCATCAGGGGCATGTGTGCACACAGAGGAATGATTATGTGGGGACCCAGCAGGAAGGCAAGCCAAGGAGAGAGGCCTCGGAAGAAGCCAAATCTGCTGACACCTTGATTTTGTACTTCTAGCCTCCAGAATGGTGAGAAAATAAATTTATGTTGTTTAAGCCTCGCAGCCTTTAGTATTTTGTTATGCCAGCCATAGCAAACTAAGATAGGCAACTCCCACATCACTAATGCAGCCAAGTTCGGAAAGAACCAGGGAGACGGCTTTTGAAAGCCATCCAGACAGGTCTTCAAAGAGCAAGTTTTAGAAAAGCCAAACAATGGAATCTTAACAGCTGTTATTTCCAGAACACTAATGTTGAATCTGACATAGTGCCATGGGCTCCCCGAACATTATCTCATTTAATTCTCACAAAAATTTCAGGACCAAGGTAGTTATTATTATTATCCCTATTTGCTGTTGAGCTAATAGGATTGGAGATGTTTCATGATTTATCTAAGGACAAATAACAAAATGCAGACTTAAAATTCAAAACAGGTCTGCCCTGCCCCAAAGCCTATCTGCTTCATTATTATATTATGATCCATTTATTTTGTTTACTAATGTCCTCCGCACTCATAGACAGTACCTATCGCTGAGGCTGTGGGGTGAAACAGCACAGAGAATATGTGAAGGGCACTTTATAGAGAATGTGGTGTCTCACAAGCAGGTGTCTGCGGGATTCTGTACCCATACTACTCTGCAAGTGTCCAAGTGTCTTTAAATTCTTGCCCTGTTTTAACAAGGAACAAAGCAATCCACCAGACTGACTGAAGTTCTCTATGTTTTCCATAAACTTACTGTCTGATGGCCCTTCTAGATTTTTTAGATTAAAATTTTAATTTTAATTCTAGTATAGTTAACATACAGTGTTAGGCCCTTCTAGATTTTTACATTCTTCCCCCCAGTGTAGTCTTTTACAGCTGTTTTGCTCACATCTTAATTGGTACATTATTTTTTTTTTTCCTTTCCAAAGCATAGAACTTGGGTTGCACAGAAACACTGCTCCTTATTTTCACACTCATCTGTTTCCTTAATATTAAAGTATGAAATTACAAAACTAAGTGTAACCAGCATTACAAGGTTTGGACAAACACAAATGACCCCTCTTTGTTTAGCAGGTATCTCACATGGCTCAAGTGATGGACATTCCAGGTGAGTAGGCCCAGAGGGAACAGAGAGCATGCATTTAATCTGATGAGCTAGTTAGGCAGCTTTGTAAACATGCCAAGCCCCTCACCCTTCATGGAGAAGACTGGTATCCACAGAGGCAAGGGTGAAATTGTCTTTGAGAATCATGGAACCGTTTAAAATCAACTGGCCGTGGCTACTGGGAAATCAACAAAGCAGACTAACTTAAATGGATGTTGTTCCCAGGTAAAAGGAGAAGAGCACCTTTTTCCAGAGAGGGGTACCAAGACCCAAGCCTGAAGCTCAGGGGTAGCAGTGGCTTATGCCCTTACTGGTTTGGTTTTCAGCTCCCTTTATTCTTTCTTGGCAATATTTTAACATCTTTGCTAGCTCCCCTGTGCAGTCAAGCAAATGCTTGCTATATTTTATCTTACATTTGCTACATGTTTTAGCAGAGGGCTTTCAAGTCATATAGTCTACCATACTGTGAGAGCCTAAAGTTTTATCTCTATTGGCTGGACTTGGCCCACAAAAAGAAATGTGCTTTACATCCTTGAGTTAGAACTGGCCCATTAGTTTGGCATCCTTTGATGAGTGCAACAAGCAGAAGGTCTTAATCATAACCACTTTTCTGTGACCTGCTATGGGGAATACTAGAAACTTGGAAGCAACAATTCAGTGTACAGCCCAAAATGACTGTTGCCACACAGGAAGACCTGGCATGTGACTCTGTAGTCTATTAATTTGGCTTTATAAGAGATATGAATTAGCTTGAGTTATACAGAACCACTAAATCCTGACTGCATGCAATTAACTCCTATAAGATAGGTCTCTGGATGCAAAAACAAAGTCACAAGATGATCAAAAGGAGTCACATGAAGTGGGTAACAGACCTACTTATTAGTTGGTACTGGTACTGATACTCTTAGTTGACCAAAAAGTTGGTCATGAATGTGATCAAACTCTTAGAACCATCCATTCAGTTTTTGACTGAAAATTCTCAAGTTTGAGCTGGTTTTATGACAGAGGATGCTAAGTTCGTCAGGAGCATGGGAAGTTAAGGTGGATTTAGAGGAAAGATGAAACTTTCCATCACGATGAATTCTTGGGGGTGCTATGGTAGAGTATGGAAATGAAAGAATAAGATCATCAAGGATATTATATGATATAATCTGTCTTTAAGGCTCCATGGTCAAAAGTCTTGGCTGTATCAGGTCTCTGACCTGTGTGCATCAGGCCAGAAGGATTGTATTTTCACTAAGGTTACTTTGAATATTTCTTCCTTCCTCAGATAAGCTAAGTTAAATATCCTTCAATTCATATAATTTATGTCATATCTTAGGTGGACCATTATGGACGTAATCTTTGACTATACTCTTTGGTTTAGTGGTGAGGGAGAGTTTAATTCTACTGCCTTGAATAATTTTTATAATTGTACGAATGATTCAGCTAAAACACACAAATACATGAGTCAAACTTGGCTAGTTCTTTATTACCATGACATAGGGCTGAGCTGGAAGGAAGGAAGTAGAGGGCTGAAGGACCAAAATGGGGGAGAGTAAGACACAGAAGACTGAAACACAGACTGAGCTAGAGATGATCAGACAGGGACAATGTGAGGAGGTCCAAAATAACTCTGAACTCTGTTTCTGCCTAGTGCCTAAAAGTCTATCTCTTGTGGAAATCCTAGGGTATATTTATATAGGTCCTTCATGAAAACTGAAGATGAAAGGGGAATATTCTATTATATATCATGAGACAAAGGCTCTTAAAAAGTCATGGTTTTTTTTTTTTTTTTTTTGAGTCACTGTAGGGAGAAGATCCACTAAATTATCCCATAAGCCTCCCAGGTAACATACTTACTAATTCTTTTATACTAATTACTTAAAAGTAAAATTAACAGAAGAGATATTCTGCAGAAAGCAGTAAATCTGAAGTTTGGTGTTATATTTTTTAAAAAATTTCTTTATATACACAGTTTATGGAGGGGTTAACTAGTAAAATGGAAAGATTATGCCTATCAAGAACATTCCCAAATAAAAACTGTGCAATTGTTTTACTGGATTAATATATTAAAAAATCCCTTTATTATACTGGACTTATTTATTTATTATACTGACCTTACTTAAGGTCAGTAACTTTTATGCACTCTACTATAACAAAAAACTCTGATTTATTAGTTGCTTCAGATCACTTCTCAGTAGTTTAAGCAAAGGTTTGGGTAGTGGCTTGCAAATATTATCTGTTAAAGACCTTTGTTGCATCTACATTTCATGAAACCATTTTTAATTTTATACATTTCTTTTCCCTTCACCTGGCCTATGATCTTCCCTTTTCCTCAGAAGATTTTCTCCACACTCACTTGCTAGGACTATTCACATTCTTTTGCATAAACCTCCTTCTGCCTCTCATGGCTCTCAACCTCTTTTTTATTTCAAATTCCCACCTAAACTACAGAAGACTGTACTGGAAGGCCTTACCATTTCAACCTTTGAGGCCAATTT